ATTTTTTCTTTTCTTTTCTTTTCTTTTCTTTTCTTTTTTTCTTTCTTTTTCTTTTTTTTTCTTTTCTTCCTTTTTTTTCTTTGTGCTTCTTCCTCGGCCAATCGCTAGCCACGGCGATGGCCAAAGATCTCGAACCTTGCCTGATCAAGCGAGCTGGCGGCCTCTAGTGGCGAGGCTTGAGCTCGCCCAAGGCTGGCAAGCTCACGGCCTAGGGCGGTGAGCCTTGAGCCTCAAGCCTTGCTGACCTTGGGCGAGGTTGGAGATCGCTTGTGGTTCGTCGCCGTGGCTGGCGACTTGCTAAGGAAGAAGCAAAAAGAAAAAAAAGAAAAGAAAAAATATATAAAGATAATAAATAATTAAAAAAATAAGAATTTTTTGATAATTTTTCCCATCAGATTCTTTTTACCAAACGATTGAAAATATTTTTCAGGCCTTTTTTAGGTTTTAGACAAACACCAAAAAATGCAGTCATTTTTCCGAAAATATTTTCCAGAAATGGTATATTTGCCACAAAACAAATGAACCCTTAACCCATTTCTCGTTTTCCTCGCCTCCCCCTCTTCCAAACAAAGACTTAGCTAACAAGAGGATTCTTTGCCGAGGACTCCTACGCTAAAATGCTACAAAATGGATTCTAATTTTCTATGCCTAGCCTAGTTTAAGAAGTACCCGAAATGACTAGCAACATTCAGTAAAATGCCCTTTTCGAACATTGGAAATTAGATTAGATTCTCATGATTCTTATCAACAACCGGATTAGATCCGAATCAAAATCAAAATTCATCACGTTTATCATTAATAAGCAACAAGAAGGACAAGTCAAGCAACACTCATCAGAACATATAAAGAAAATTAATTCCCTCAACACTCACAAAAATTTGACCCAAGTTCCTCTATTCACCCAAATTTTCCGGTTTTGTTTTCCATCCATAGACCATCTTCCGGACCTTCAATTTGACCAATTCATCCATCATTAGAAAGCCCTGAGAGTCTATTTCACTTCATCAGTTCATGACTTTTTCAGATTTTGCCGCTATATGTTTGAAATTTGCAATTTACCTCAACTGGTCACTCTGATCCTAAAGCTAACTCCCGCTGACAAACACGATGATTGTAAGCCCAATTTGACGGAACTAATGACCTTCAATTTTAACGAGCCACCTATCAAATTAAAGCCCTTGAAGCCTTTTTTTTTTATTTCTCTAGTTTATGACTTTTCCAATTTTGACCATAAGACCTTGAAATTTCCGATTTCACGCGACGTATCTCCCAGGTTCCTGAACACGGGTTTCCTAACCATGACCTGGATTACAGGGTGATTTTGCCTGACCTAATGAACTCCAATTAAGGCATATGACCTATCAAATTAAAACCATTTTTAAGTCTCCTTCAATTCATTAGTTCAGGGCTTTGCTCAATTTTGACCTTAACTAGACAAAATTCCCGAATTGCTAGAACATGTTGCCCCCGGTCGCAGTCGATCCAGAGGAACTCGCCGCCGAGGTCGAGGGTCAATTTAACCTGGACTAACGGGGGGTTCTCTGGTGGAGTGTGGTGAGGTGCTGGAGGGTTGAGGAATCCTTGGTGACCGGAAGGACAAGGGCTTTGAGCCTAAACGATGGTCGTGATTTCTTGACCTTCTGACTCTTCTTTCTACAGCTTGAACGGAGCGAACACAAAGCAGGACTCTTCCTTCCTATCCTTTATCCTCTCAAGTGGTCGACTCTCGGCCATGTAATGATATATCTCCTGCCGTTCACTACTCATCGACCGACGCATTGTTTGGAATTCAGTAAGTAGAATCTTTCTTATGAATCATAAATTTTGCAGCGGTGCGATCATACAAATGTTAATCCTTCTTTTATGATACCTAATCATAAAAAGAAAAGGAGTTAAAATCAATGAGTTTTTCAAATTTTAACGTGATAGATGACCATTCAACTTTCAGAAAAATTTGAACAAAAAAAAATTTCAGAAAAAGCAAAGGAGTTAAAATCAATGAGTTTTTCAAATTTTATTTGTGGAAGGAAAAAGGGAAAAAAAAAAAAAAACAAAGCAATCTGTACGAAGTTTAAATTGCCAATCAAATGGTCCCGAGAGAAAGAAAGAAAGAAAATGTGGACATGGGCAGTTTATGTGGAAGACAGACAACGTTAGTGACCTTTTGTATTATGTTTGTACCTTGAAAAGGACCAATATGCCATGGCAGATAACGCTTCCTTGGATTTTTCTCTATAGGAGAATCCTGGTGTTGCTCTTGGTTTCTCACTTGACGCACGAGCACTTCTCCTCCTCCTATCGTAACTTGCATGCCCCACTCATGGCGTGGTACATGTGTGGTACACAAAAGAAGCTATCTTTCCATTTTGGTAACGTTCAAATGCAAATGGAGAAGACTACAAAAAAAAAAAACCTATTTCAATTGTGCAAATTCAGTCATAAACATTTGTGTTTGCCAATTGAGTCATAAACATTTTACATTTATGTCAATCCTCCATCCGGCCAATTTTGGCCGAGGCTCGCCTCACCAGTGGCTAAATGAGGTCAACCTCACCCTCACCGGCCAAATGATGAAGGAAGAAAGAAAAGAAAGCGAAAGAAAAGAAAAAAAGGAAAAAATAATTAAATATTTGAAAAAATATTATTAAAAATTATCCACTTCATTGCCGACCGTGCCATGGTAGAGCTGGCTAGCCAAAATTGATCGAATGAACTGAATTGGCATAAATACAAAAGGTTTGGGGCTCAATTGGCAAAACTAAAGGTTTATGACTGAATTAGCACAATTGTAATAGGTTTAATACTTTTTTGTAATTCTTCTAATGCAAATGAGTTGGGCTTGGGCCGGGCCAAGCCCTTATGAGTGGCCCAAGCTCAAAACTAGGGGTGTTAATGGGTCGGGTCGGGTCGGGTCGGGTCGGGTCGGGCTTTCATGATACCCTACCTGACCCAAAATCAATAGGGTTGCGCTTGGCCCACCCAGACCCGGCCCAAGACCCTGTTCAGCATATACTCCAAGATCCAGGTCAGGTCGAGTTAGGCCGGGTCAGGTTTCGGGTTCGTCACTCAATTACGACCTTTCCAGTTTTTTTATCCTTCTCCAACTCCATGCTTCTCTGAACATCGGCTTCTTTGGGCCCCAACACCGAAATCGGCATCGTAACCCCGAATTGCCTCACTGCCATCGCCATTGCCGGCACGGGGGGCGACGACTCCCTCAATCCCTCCGAACTAACCATCCGAGACGAATCAAATCAAAAATGCAAAAGCAAAAGACAGAGCCTAAATCGAGCAAAGAACCGTCCCAATCGACGAAAAGAGATGTCCCAAAACAGAAAAAGGTCTCCGCTTTCTCCCCTGAAGAACAACACCACCCCACCAAAAGGGAAATCCACAACCGGAGGATTCAATAGACAATCGCAGGGACGTCGGAGCCGAGGCTCGGTCGGAGGAACGGCGAGGGAGCGGGCGAGCAAAGGCGCTGACTTTCCGGTCCCATCGGGAGGAGCGGATGAAAGGAAATCGAAACCCTAATCGAATCGAATCGGATCAAATCGGGATGTGCCGGAGGAAGGAGGGGGGGGAAGCGGATCTCGCCACAAATTCAAGAGGAGAATGCGAAGGAGAAGAGCATCCCCGAAGCCCTAGATCATGTCGTAGAAGAAGGAGATACAGAAGAGAGAGAAAGTGTTGATTTTTCTGAGTTGAGGAGAGAGAGGGAGATGTGTGGACTGTGGCCCATGGGTGGTTTTGTGGTGTCAATGGGTCGGGCCCAACCCTATCCAAACTTAGTAATACCCATACCTAAAAATCCTATCCAAAGTAGATAACACCCAACCCCAAAATAACCCAAATTTTAGGGTCGATCGGGCCGGCGCGGGTCGGGCCAGGCCGGCGTGGGCTTTTTGGACACCCCTACTCAAAACCCCACATCTCCCACTCGCGTGTGATGGACTTGACGCAATCTCCATACTTGTATATCCCACATAAATATAGTATTGATATAATATCTATCATTTAAAACTAGCTTTTCAGCATATCAATTCATACAAGCACATTTGGTTGTGTGACCAACGAGTACACTTGCGTCGAGTTTATTATGCATCGGTTAATAGAGATTCGAGACAAGTTATTTAAGATGAATGCTTGATATATTAGATGTAGCTAGTAATTTAAGGAAAGATCCAAAATTTCCATGATTTTTCTATTTCAATCGAAGCTCTCGCGGTTATCATAGAAGTATCTAAATATTGTATTTCGGATTTTACAATTGTCATATCATATTGAGAGCCATACTAATGGGGAAAAGTTTCGTGGTATTAAAATAATGTTTTTTTATGAAAATTATGTTTTTTATATAGATAGGTAAGTAAAAAAACCCATTAAATAATCGGTCGTCTCTCATCGGTCGCGTGAAGTTTAGATCGTAAATTGGTTCGAAGTCGATGATAGAAGTATATTTAACTAATTTTAAAAAGTTTAATGTTAGCATTGAAAAAAAAAAGAATGAATTAGAACATAGGGATAAATTGAGAATATCTGGGAAAAAAAAAACTTGGAGCAAATACTAAGGATGAGAATGATAAAAGTCAGTGATAGTTGCTTTCTCATACCCTTTTCCCTAAATCTGGTTTTTTTTTATATGCTGCAAAATTAAAGTTTTATGAATTTATAAGGAAAAGCAATTATACAACTTTTGGCCGATTTTCAATTGAGTGTCTAAACTTGTTTTAGTGCAGTCAAATGCCTCAACTTTTCAAGTTTGGATCGATGTGAGGTCTCCACTAAATAAATTATGAGATTTTGCTGGTGTGATTCGCTTAATCAGCATACTAAGCATACTTTAATGACGTGACTTGCTAACTTAGCAAAAACTCGCCTTTATCTCTTTCGGTTGTTGGGTAATGAGGAGAAAAAGGGAGAGAGAGAGAGAGAGAGCCGATTTTGACGATTTTAACCAATCCTTATGATGTGGCATCGTCTCAAGAAGTCATATCAGATGCGAAACACGAATAGTCAATAGTTATTTAATGGTGTTAGCGATCAAATTGGCATTGCCATTCACGATCTTACCAACGACCTCGGACCGATCTAAACTTAGAAAATTGAGGTACTCGATTGAATAAAAAGATATACGCATACCCGATCTCAAAACCGACAAAAATACATATACTTGCCATGTCGCTACTCCTATATACAATTCTGGCTCAACAGTAAGAACTAAAGCTATGGTAGTTCCAGTACTATTTCTAATTTTGGTTCCTTGTCCCTTTGGCTTCTTTCAATCAGAACTTCTGTACACCCCAAATTCATCTTGAAAGGATTGCATCTATAGCGACGGAAACGCCATGGAATTGAACTCCGACCTCAGGTCGGAACAGGCCAATCGCCTCGCCGACAGCGGCGGGCCGAACCCCAGCCTCGAGCCCCCGAAATCGAACTCCAGCAGCACGTCCTCCAGCTGGTGCCCTCCCAGCACCACCGTGCTCCCCAGCCCGTCGCCGCCGTCCACGACCCCCAAGCACGTCGCCTCGTCGCTCGCCCTCACCATCGAGTTCGACCCGCCGATCCTCCACCTCACCATCTCGCTCTGCAGCACCAGATCGATCGCCGGGACGTCGGGCCCGGCCCCCGTCGCGGCGACGGTCCTCGGGTCGAAGCACACCCCGAACGGCGCCACCGGCGGGACCCTGGCCATCCCCATGGCCGAGGCCGCTCCCGCGAAGGCCTCGCCGAAGGCGGGGTAGATCGGGCTCGCCACGGCGGTGTACGGGATCGCGGTGCTGAGCTTGATCGAGTGCGGCGGCGACGAGGAGTCGAGGGAGAGCCGCTTGCCGTCGATCTTGATGGAGGTGAGGTTGATGAGGTAGTCCGAGGACCGCGCCGACTTGGCGGTCGCGAGGGGCGTGTAGGTCAGGGATCTGGAGATGTCGCCGTCGACGCGGGGGAAGAACGGCCCGTCGCCGGCGACGATGACGCCCTCCGACGCCGATAGGCACGCGAAGAACCTCCGGCGGACGCCGAACGCCGTCGCCACCTGGACAAAAGGGTCGGTCTTCTCATTATCATCGAAATTCAGATCAGCCAACGCAATCAACACAAAACATTACCTGCGACGGCAGCGAAATCCGACTCCGTCCCAAGCCCAACGTCCCCCTGACGCCGGTCGCTCCATATCCCGGCGGCCCGCGCGCGCAGGATATCAGGAACCGGTCGACGGCCGCGACCGATCTCTCCCCGGACCCGTCCACGGAATCGACCGCCACGGCTACCTCCGCGAGCACCCCCCCGCGCGCCGCGGCCTCGCCGGCCGCGCCGCTCTCTGGCCGGACGCCGCAGACGGCGGAGGCCCCGCTCGCGCACGCGCGGCGGAGCCCGGAAGCGTCGGACGTCGCTGCCAGGCACTGGATCGAACGGCAGGGGACTGGACGGACGGCGGACGGGGAGGAGGAGGCGGAGCAGTCGAGCCAGAGAGATGGGCCGCCGAGATCCACGGCGCGGTCGACCGGGTCGAGGGAAGGGCCGTGGTAGACGGTGGCCACGTACCGGAGCGTGGAAGGGTCCTTGGCCAAGGGGAGGAAGAGGGTGCGGGAGCGCGAGGAGGGGACCAGGCACGCGAGGGAGCAGAGGAGCAGAAGGTACAGAGACGGAGCGGCCATGGAAGTGGTGGTTGAAGAAGGAGGAGGAGGAGGAGGGTGGCGGTGGTTTGGAGGTTGCGGAGATTCGCCGCGGCTTTTGATAAGCGGAGGACACGTGGGAAGCGGATAAGGAACAGCGGATTTATCGAAAACTTTGGGTTTGCTGACCAGATTCCACGTTCGGAGGGACTATTTTGAAATTTGCTCTCTTCTCGAGGGCCAGAAATAAATAAAAATAAGGTCAAAATGCAAAAGCTCGAACGAAAATGATTTGCTTATCGGTCCGCCTCGGGGGGGGGGGCGGGGCGGGGCGGCGGCTTATGCCTCGGATCAGACTGTAATAGATTTGGTCCAAGGCACCCCTAGGGTAGCAATGATCTCCGTGGTTAGCTAACAACCACAAAAGGAGCATCCCAACTCGATGATGTTTGGGAAAATGACACAATTGATTTTTGAATTTTAGTTCAATATGCAATATGGCTTCCGAATTTTTGATTTGTTCAATGTGGTCTATAAATTTTTGGTACATATTTAATTTAGTCTCCGAATTATATGAAAATGTTTAATACTGTCAATGAACTTGAATTAATGAAATGATAATATTGAATATTTTTGTATTGTCCATAGACTAAGTTGAACAAGTACCAAAAGTCCATAGACCACATTAAACAAAATTAAAAGTCTGAAGATTTATAGTTCATGCATCATATTAAACAAATAAAAAATTCGTAGACCATGTTATGTATTGAACCAAAATTTATGAATTATTTATATCGTTATCCGCAACTTTGATAATTTTTTTATCCGACGGTGGAGGGTGCCCGCGAGAACCTGACGGTGCGAATCGACACGGCACCGTTTTGTCCTTTTCAGAGAGGTACGAGAAGCGTCGCTTTTCTTCTCAATACCACAAAATGTACTTTTACTTGCGAAATTACTAGTTTGCACCCTCGTGCATTATGGTTTGGCTCCGCTTTGCACGTCGCTGTTAACTAAACAGCGGTTAACTACTTAACTCTGGTTAACTCAGTCGTGACTCACGAATTGCCATTTCTTTTCCAGTTATACCCCTGGATTCTTAAAGTTAGCAAATTAAGGCACATTCTTCTTTTTCACTTTGGAAGAAGATGTTGGTCATCTGATACTTATTCCTTTCAGATGCCCCTTCTTTTTGCGCCGTATATTTCAGTATGCAGTCGCGTGACTTGATTTATTGCTTGACCTATGTTCGCGAAAATCGACACGTTGTTTATATCGAGTTTCCATAATCGAAAATTCAGTCATGCAAAGCGAAATAGTGAAGTAAATTGAAGTGTTATGTAATGGACTAGGCACGACAACCAAGAGGGGGCTGAATTGATTCTTCTAGGAAACTTCGCTAAATTGGCCAAATCAACAACTGAGTGTTGCATCGCTTGAAATAATTAGTTAATGAAAAATATTTTTATTATTGACAACAATTTATGTCTAACAATTTTCGTGGACGATGAAATTATTTCAAATTCACTCATTTTTGTAAGCGATGTAAATGATCATTTTTAGGAAAATGTTTTCAAAATCATTCATTTTCCGTGAAATAAATGGAGACTAAAAGAGATGAAGTAATCGTTTTCTTCAACCTTCAGCCATGGCAAAGGGTTTGTGCTAGTCCCAACCTCCCCTCCCCCTCTTGTTGATTCTATTCGTTTTTTTTTTCTTGTTTTTCCTTCTTTCTCGATTTAGATTTGGGAGCTCTCTTTTTCCATTCTAGGTATGAATCTAAGAATTTAAACTCTCCCGACCTAGCTCTAGATTTGGGAGCTATCTTGTCCCGATCTAAATATAGGAGTTTAATAAATATGTTTTTAGGGATTCGATACCCTTGTGCTCTATCCTTATATATGTCCTCAACCTCCGACTTCAATGGTGATCACAGGAGCTCTGGCATCTTACTGAACCACGAAGATTTGCTCTTTCAAACGTTAGATTTGTGTTTGTTCAACCTATTTTGGTTGTTTTCACACGGCGATGGTATAGAGGAAGCGGAAATTGGCAAAGCCGTAGTTACTGGAGAAGGAATGTCTAGTGTGTGCTCAGTCGCCGATTATTTTGCTTACTATTTTATATGGAACGAGTGTGTGCTTAATCCCACTGGTGCTAGTTGATCCTCCTTGTTTTCTGGATTTTGCTTTGTTTTGTAGGATTGTAGGTTTTGCTTTGCTTCGATTTGCTTTGCTATGAAATTTATGTACTTCTCATGTATCGTTTTGAGCAACGAATATAATTTTTTTCGAAAAAAGAAAGAAAGAAAGAGACAGAGTAACTAGAGAAAAGTAAGTTTTAAATATAATAGCATAATGGTCTTTTAATAAGCCCACTCAGTTAAATAAAAACTACAGTTAAGTCACAAGGTACAAACGTGAAGTTTAAAAAAAGGAAATAATTTTTTTTTTTTTATGTTGGAGCAAAAAATGAGGTATGTTTTTTGTGTATCCCCTCTGTTATCATTTCACATGACATCTTGATTCGAATGTCTCGGTATTCTCGTGTAAAACTGGCAATTTCATATTACTCGTAGACTTGTAGCGTCTTCTTTGTCTCGAGATAAATCAATACAAATACCCAAAACGGAAATGCAGATATGATAAATTCAAAATAAGTTTCATTTTTTATTTTTATTTTTACTTTTCTCAAATTATGTGTCTCACCCAGTTTGACTTTCATTTAATACAAAACATCCGATACCTTTCAAATTATACAAATTTTGGCAAAAAAAATCCTCTTACTTATATGTTAACATTTAAGTCATCATTAAACTTTAGAAATTTTCTTTTAAAAAAGAGTTAATACCACGAAAAACCCCAAACTGATATACATGTGACAATTTTATCCCAAATTAATTTTTTGACCACCAAAAACCCCAAATTGATACACTTGTGACAAATTTACCCTCAGTTTGTTTCCGTTAAACTTTACTATCAAATTGCTTTGTTAAATGACAAACGACAATTAACTAATGTACCAGTTATATGTTTTACCCTCCATTTATCACAAGCGTACCAGTTTATGATTTTTTGTGGTATTAATTCAATTAACGGAAACTAACTAAGGGTAAATTTGTCACAAATGTACCAGTTTGAAGTTTTTAGTGGTCAAAATATTAGTTTGTGGTAAATTTATCACAAGTGTACCAGTTTGGGGTTTTTTGTGTTCAAAAAAATAGTTTGGAGTAAAATTGTCATAAGTATACCAGTTTGGAGTTTTTCGTGGTGTTAACCCTTAAAAAAATGTATGCCAATTTCTTTTTATGGTATATTTGTTGAAGTTCAATTCTTCATGAATTTTCCCTTTAATTACCATCTTTAATATAATTAACTATTTCTTTTCGCACGCCACTAGTGCACTTTATGTTCGACTTTTTATTGTCAATTCTTTATTTCAATTATCATATTTCAACAAATTTACTTTGTTATCTAGGGTGCATTTGTTTAAGGGAAAGTGTTTTCCCGAAATTATTTTTCCGAACTTTCACCCATTTAATTCATCTAAAATGATTAGTCAACTGAAAACACTTGCCGATCAAAGAAAATATTCATGTATAAAATTAGGAAAGTGAATTCCTAAATTTAAAAAGGTGAAAAAACTTCTTGGAATTACTCCTCTTGAAATTTTTAATATTTTTGTTCTTTTCCTTCTTCCTCCTCTGCTGATCGCCGGGCCTCGACGATCGGCGACAGGCGTGGCGATCGGTGGAGGAGGAAGAAGGAAAAGAAAAAATAAAATAAAAAGAAATTATTTATAAATTTCGATTTTTTTTTGTGCCAGATATAAAGTCATGAGATTAAAATCATTTTGTAAATGAGATCCAAACACGAAAAAAACATATTGAGGTACATATCACCAAACAAAGGAACAATAATCATTTTCCTGAACAATGATTTTCTGAAAAGTATTTTCCTTTATGACGAATTTTTTTCCCGAACTAACGCACCCTTAATTTCATTTCTCTTCAGGAAAATATTGCAGGTTTTACAATAAGACGGTGGAGATCCCGAGCCAATAGGATGCCGCCACGTGTCCGGACGCCGAAGGAGCTGGCCGGCGGAGCACGACATCGACGAACCTTGTCCGAAACGATGCCCGGATTCATTGTTCCTCCTCCCGTCGCCGTAACATCTCGACGTCGCTTCCCTTCGTGGGGGGTTGGCTTTGTTCTGATTCCTAGAGCTTCTCGACCTTTTTCGATCCGACGGTGGAGGGCGCGCACAGCGCGGCACCGTGGAAAACGACGTCTCATCGGATCCGTTCATGGCGATCCATCAATCGGGTCCCACCTGTTTACTTTCACAAAATTACAAGTTTGCACCCTTGCGCTTTTTAAGGTTTTTGGCCCCAACTTTGCACGTTGCCGTTTAAGCAACGGTGGTTAACTCTGATTAAGTAAGTCATGGGTTTACGAATGGCCATATTTTCTCTTTGCAGATATACCCCTGCATTCTTTAAAGTTAGCAAATTAAGGCAAATCAAATGAGAAAAACTCATTTTTCACTTCTAATATTGATGATGGCCATATATTTCAATATGCAGCCGCTTAACTTGGTTTATTGCTCGACTCGTGTTCAAGAAAATTGACGCGGTGTTTATATCAGGTATCCATAATCGAAAATTCGTTTGTGCAGAGCGAAATAGAGAAGCAAATTAAAAGTGTTGTAATGCTAGTTATGAATTGGACCGGGCACGGCAACTACTGAGAGAAGGGTGAATTGGTTGTCTTTGTAAAGTTGAAATTTTTTTTATGAAATACGTGATCGATAGTGTCTAGAAGGTACAGTAGGGCTGTAGAAACGTATACACTTCTGCAGAATCACCATAATATATCAAACGAAAATTAAAAGAGTTTAAATAATAGAAGAAATACGAATCAAAATAGTGGCTCGACCTTCCACTTGGCCGAACTTTTTTTTTTTTTTGTCGAGACTTCACTCTCCTAATCTAACAGCCTCAATAAGTCTGGTGCTTGAGAATTGACAGGTGCTGCCTCCACTTGAAACTGGAGTCCCTTTTACATATTCAGGCACCTCTCATGACACTCTTTTCAAATTATAAATATGTTCTTCTTCCATAGAGATTTACAATTAGAAATCACTGTATTTGCACAAAGGAAAATAAGAGAATTCAATGCAACATGGGCTTCTTGAATGCCATCAACAACTTTGGAATATTTTTAAGGGCTAACACCACGAAAAATTTCAAACTGGTACACCTGTGACAAATTTACCCTAAATTATTTTTTTAACCATTAAAAATTCCAAGC